GTGCAATAAATCTCTTAAGTACAAAAATAAGGAGAAAATTCCTAAGCAATAACTCTCTGAATTTACTTCTTGCACACAATTGGTGCCTTTATAAAAGAAAGGGTAACAGGGCCGTTGGTTCAAAAATCGAATAGGCACCACACTTCAGATTTTGAAGAGACACCACTCTCCACATGCAACATCAGTTCCTCGGGTACCACAGATAACTTTGCCAAAGATCTCTGACAAAGTTTAGACACATAAATTTTGAAGGTCCAGCTACCATACTATTACCCACAAGGATAAAGGAACAGAACCACTATTTTGATAACTGAAAAGTCCCTATGTGTGTCAACCTCCGTGCTCCGTGGCAAGGTAGACTGACAAAAATGCCCAACTTTTACTCACATTCGAGAAAACACTCCCAACAAGATTGCTTGCTCAAAAAATCAAAGAGGCATCGCTCTCCGAATCTTGAGAGCCAAACTCTCAACATGATTACTTGCTCAAAAATCGAAGAGGCACCGCCTTCCATATCTTTAGAGCCAGACTCTCAACAGGATTGCTTTCTCAAAAATCGAAGAGGCACCACTCTCAAGAGCCAGACTCCTAACAGGATTGGTTTCTCAAAAATCGAAGAGGCACCATTCTTCGAATCTCGAGAGCCAGATCCCCGACAGGAGTACTTGTTCGAAAACCGAAGAGGCATCGCTCTCTGAACTTCGAGAGCCAGATTTCCTTGGATAAAGCTTGTCTGCAATCTTCACACGCAACATCAGCTTTCCAGATACCATATACCACTTTTTCAAAGTGCTCTGACAAAGTTAAAACATATGAAGCTTGCAGCTCCCACTACATTGTCACGACGAAGAAGGGTAAAGGAATAGCATTACTACTTGTTGTTAGGGAGACTCCTATGTATGTCGACCTCCATCCTCCATGGACAGGCAGACCTACAAAAATGCTTAACCCTTCCTCATATCTGAAAGGGCACTCTCAACGAAGCTTCTCGAAATACTTAGCTTTCTTCCCCCCCCCCCAATAATACCTATGCAAACCAGCCACACCAGAGCAAGAGTATCTCATATCATCAGGGTCAAAAGCAAGAGTATCCTATATCATGCTTTTTCCCTGTCTTTTCCTTTGCCCTTGTTCTTACCTGCAAGATAAAGAGAAAGAGAGCAATCAGTCAGCACTTGGAATCAAGCTTCCAGTCAGGAACTAACTGTCTGGAACCCCTTGCTTGATTACTTACCTGACATTGCTCTCGAGTACTTATCTTCAACGTCTTATGCTTCCAGAAAAGATACCACATCTTCCTGAGGAACAGATCGGGCAAGTGAGAATGATACAAGGAAGCATGTGGAGACAAGCGCAACAGAACACGTGCCAATTCATCTATTACTTCGTCAACAGCAAAAGTATCCCATATCATCAAGGTCGAACGCACTCTTGATTTGATGGACTTGTTTTGACTCTCAAATTCTTGAGTTGGCCTTATACTCTGCAGGAAACCAGAAAACCCTCTAGCCCAGTTCAAGAATAAGCCTGTTGAAAGTTACTTCTTCCAAAGTAAAAGTATCTCATATCATCTCTTCTCCATTTGCTTCTCCTTATCATTGTTGCTGTTTACGACACAAAGAGAAGGAGAACAATCAACCGGAAGCGGAAGTCGAACCTCTGATCCAGGTTGCTTGCTTGGAAGTCTGATTGCTTACCTTGTCTGTTACCTCTTTCGGCAAATCTCCTAGCTCGGCGACTTGGGGGACTCCTACTATAGGGTTTTGTATTGCACTGGACCAAGCCCAAAACTACAAGTAAGCTTCAAGTGAAATTGATACATTACCTTATGCATCTTCATCGGTTAAAGATACCACCCCTGGATGGAGGAAAAGTACTTCCAAAGAAGATGCCACATCTACGTATGAGACAGATAAGGCAAGTGAAAATGATACCACACTTCGATACTTAGAAGTTTCGTGATTACTTAATGGCTTGGATCTTGCAAGTCACCAACCGAGGAGCTTCACTCACTCGGGAACTTAGGGGAGCACTGTCTGTATCATACTTGACCAATCCCGAAACTATTGAGCACCGGTCAACGTTATACCGTCAAGAACCCATAAGAGTTTCCCTCCAACCAGGAGGCCAATCACAGCGCAACACGTGTCGACATCAGAAGCCAATCATAGCACGACACGTGTCAACATCAGAAGCCAATCACAACACGACACGTGTCAATGTCAAAATGAAATTAGAAACTCTCTTCTATAAATAGAGATCATTCTCTCACAATATTTCCGAATGTTATTTGTACTAATTATTCACTTGTACTCACTAAAGGAGAGCTTGAACCTATGTACTTGTGTAAACCCTTCACAATTAATGAGAACTCCTCTACTCCGTGGATGTAGCCAATCTGGGTGAACCACGTACATCTTGTGTTTGCTTCCTATCTCTATCCATTTACATACTTATCCACACTAGTGACCGGAGCAATCTAGCAAAGGTCACAAACTTAACATTTTCTGTTGTATTAAAGTCCCCACTGATTTTGTGTATCAACAAACTTCATACTTAATCATTTGATCATATGAAAACATGGGATCTTCACAAGTCATAACATGACCAGGGCTGTCCTTTCATATATAAACGGTGCAATCTGGTAAATAAGTCAATCTTTTCGTTTTCTTTGTTTCTTTGAATGTGCAGAAGGATAAAGATTTGAATGGAAGCAAAGGCACAGATAAAGATTGAAACGTGGAGAAGGATAAGGATAAGAAGAGTCAGTTCACTTTTCTCCCAGGACGCTTCACTCTTTCTTCCTACAAACCCATGTTGCTCTCTTCTCATCATTTTCAGAATGTAAAACCGTTCGTGCGACTCTAGAAATCAAGAGGAGGAAGAAGACGACATGCACTTTAGGGGGGAAAAACCGATGCTACTCCAGAGAAAGATTAATCCGATAAAGATTCCACGCATTAGAGAGTTGCTTGGGTCGTTTTAGTTACACATGGCCAGAAAAATAAAACAAAGCAGGCAGAGTTGGACTTCCATTTCAGAAAATATTTGAATTGGTGGGTACATTTAAATAATTTTGCAGCCGCATGCCACAATGGTTAAGATTCGATCAGTTATCCACCCAACTACTTTTGAGAAGGATGTTTCGGCCAAGAGAAAAGTTTCCATCTTCTTCGACAACACAACCAATGCAGACGTGAGTGGTAAGATGCCGTACAAAGACATAATTTTTCTCCTTACTCTATGTATTGAGTAAACATACAAACATCACAGCCAAAAACATTATTAATCTTCAATTAATTTCACAATCCCCATTTTGCCCAAGGCACTTATGTCTTAGGTAATCGTTTTTGTCCCCTATTCAATATCTATTCTTACATGATTATTATAATTTTGTGTATTTTGGATTGTGAATGTTCATATAATAAATCTCAATTATAACAAGGTTGACTTCATTTTTACATTTGTAATCGGGTTCATTTTCTCCCCAGTTGCGTGAGACTTCACTATATAATTTATGTTGTTTAGATCTATATATTGAAAATTCGGATAGACGCCAAAGGCTTCATATATGTTTCCTGCCACTTGGATCCCATCAAACCAAACTATGATCATGGTCTTTGCACATAACATGGAAGTTTAGTTTGTTTCCCACAATCCACAACACAACTCCACTGAAAAATCAACTACAACATCAGTTACCACTAAATCCGAATTTGCATTATAAAAATTTAAAACAAAACACAAAATAAAATTCATCCCCGACCCCAAGTACAAAAAGCACCACAAACATAATATTTTACTGCTTTCCCACATTTTATTTCACCTTTGTTCTACATTTTGGTAAAATATATTTTCCCTTATTAACGTAGTCCTTCAGCAAACAAAGACAATAACTCATGAGTATGTGCTTTGTCCTCTACAACAATACATTGAGGTCTTCACATCATCGTGATCCTTTGCAATGAAAACATTATGAGCTTTCCCAAGTAATAAATTCCCAAGTTAATTGATTTTAAAATACAGGGAAAAGGAAAATAAGTTATATTCTACATGCTTCATGCTTGCAAAGGTAATGTTAGAGAATACCGTCATAGGCACTACTGTGTGTGTGAGAGTATCCACGTCAACAACTTCAAATTTATTACTTCCAGTTATGTGCAGTCATCTTCCAGATTTCATCCATCAACTCCATACTTGGTATCATACTTTTTGAAACATATACATTGACAATTACAATGGAAAAAAAACTAACACAATACATATTTAGGGGAGCGTAGCGCCCGTGATGCAAAAATGTCTCTTGCACGCACGTTAGTGCGTGTAGAGAGGCTAGTTTCTACTATGGCTCTAGCCCCCTTGTTTTTTCATATTTACTTGAGAGCTTTTCGTTTGAATTTTTATTTAGGTACTAGTAAGTTAAACTGTATTGTTAGTTAAAATGACCAAATGACCAACCCGACGGTGCATCACAAGGCCATATAAATCATTAAAAGCATTTCCAAATGAAATGTCAAATATGTCAACTTGGAGTAAAAGATTAAATTTTTTTTTCCAAAAGAGATGTCATAATTGACGTGGCAAATAAGTCTAGCAGTATTTTTTTTTTTTTTTTACAGCAAATAAAGATAGAGTCGAAACAAAGACAAGAAAATTGGTGATAATCTTTTCTTGTCGATAAATAGGATTAATAAGCATATAAATCAAAAGGAAATGGCAATCTTGTTGTTTTTCTTTTGACGGTAGCTTCTTTTCGCCCATTTCCTTTGGGGTGTAAGTTGAAGCGTCATGACATCTCCTCAGTCCCACCCATACACTGCCTGCCAGTGCCAATCGTAAAGTGATATGTAGGGGACTCTGGACCAACAAAGGCCACCATCTGCGACTGCGACTGCGACTGCGATGCATCACTCTCCACAACAAAATCTCAAGTGATCGAGGGAGAATAAAGCAATTTCAACATTAATTTCCCTACTTGTTTTCTAATATAACACAAAGTCTTAACTCAACCCCACATTTTATTTATTAAGTTCAAATCACCAACTTACATTACAATCCAAGCATCTTAACAGATGCACTTTGTAAAGCATACCCAAAAACATATTAAGTTTCAAAAGTTCGGGTAATCTGGTTTCATATCTTTGATGCCTTAACTGATTAAATTATGACAAACTCAACCGTTTTTGAACTTCTTCCACAATTGTATCTCTAGAAATTGTGATTTCCTCGCCAGCCGCCATGTTTTTCAATCTCACAACATTATCATTCCGCTCCCGTTCACCCTCAATTATCATCCAAGGGATCCTAGATTCCTTTGCTCGATCAAAGTGTTTCGTCACTCTTTTATTCACTGAGTATTCTGCTTTCACTTTTACGTCCCACAACTCCGTTGATAGCTCTGCTGCTCGTCCTAAATCATCCCCCAATATACTCACTAGGACTTCAGTCTTCGTTGCTCGTGTTCTCTGTATAACAATACCAATAAAACACGAAACAGATCAATGCCTCGTACAAGGCTGCAAAACTAAACTACAAGGCAACCTATAATGCCATGTGGCTTTCCAAATTATTAACCAAAACATTTATCCACAGTATCCGCCTTAAATCCACCATGTCGCTAGCCAAAAAGTCATCTACTTACACGAACTAATATATATATATAACAAGAAGCCAAAAAAGAACACAAAATAAGTCTTCAATGCGCTATTATATCTATTGTGACATTGGACCAACCAATCCAGAGTGTAGGACACAATCAAAATCGCAAGTCACCGAAACACAGCATACATACCTGGTAAATGACAGATGTCATACCTATTTCCTGCTCTCATTTTAACACCCAATCCATCTACCAAATAGCAGTCCCTTGCTCTAAACTCAAACAATTTTCAAAGAAAAACAGTAGGGACGCTGAACAAACGGAAAGATGGCTCTAGAATGACTAAAAGGTAACACCAAGATAACAAGTTTTGATTTCCTTGGAGCATCAATATAAGGATATTGATTTGAGTTTCCTCTAACCTCTTGATTTTATTTCAGCTTCAGTTTCTTTATCGAAAAGTTAAAAAAGAATAAGGGTGGGTTAGAATCGGAATGAAGAAATTATTCTCGATTATGTAGCCATCTGTGCATGTACACAATTACTTCGGTTGAATTCATTGACAGAAGTTTATATTTGGATCAACTAACCAAAATTCAGGAACCAAAATGACAAATATACAGTTTAGGGACTAAACTAAGATATGAATCAGCGGTCAGAAGGCAGTGTAACTTAACCTAAGAAACGTATAACCTAATGAATTTATAGTTCAATAATGTTCGAGGAACAGGATTTGAAGTGCTGTCACTACCAATCAGATTATAACCCAACAATAATATTCACCCAAAATATAAGACTATTAATCAACATATACCCAGAAGCATATGAAATGTCACCTGATTCTGGTCTTTGTTAAGCTGCTCCATTATATTAAATACTCGTTCAATTCCAAGGCTGACACCAACAGCTGGAACCTGCTTTGTACCAAACATCCCTATAAGGTTGTCGTAGCGTCCACCAGCAGCAATTGAACCAACCTGATAACAAGTTAATATAGGTTGAAACACATAAGTTAAGCTGAGGAAGTAAAGGGAATACGCCATTTATTATTACTTTCACTGTTCATCTGAATTGAAACTTTTAAATAATGTCACAGAAAGATTATACAAGGCACATGAGACATGTTATACAAACAACAATAGGACACAAAATGAATGCAAAAGAAATTCACAACAGCATTTATGTAATTTTACCTGGGCACCCCCCCTAAAAACAGCTTCAAATATTACTCCAGTATAATAATCGAGACCCCTTGCAAGACTTAAGTCAAAAGTCACTTTTCCTATGCACTTTGATTTTTGCAAAGCATTAAATAAGATCTCCAAGTCATTCAACGCATCTATAGATGAACTGCTTTCCAAGAACTTGCTGCCCTCCTGTTTAAGCTTACTTAACAATTCCAAAGGATGTCCACGCTCTTTTACAAAAGCACCAATTTTGTCTGCTGTCTCAACACTTAAGCCCTTCTCCTCCACCTAGAAAAATTCATATATGGCAGATATAAAATTAGTTCGGATAACAGAAAATAAGTCAACCATATGAAAAATGGCATCAACCAAGACAAACAATAAAGGATAGAAATGAAAATGCATGCCCGCCGATTAGGGAGAAAAGCATGACAAATTGATAAACCAAGTACACGCTTATAGACGAGAAATAAACAAGAACTGAAATGCATTGGTTATCATGGTATGAAATTTCAAACCAGTAGATATGTCTTTCTTAGAAATTGTTATGATCACAGATTACTTGAAGAAATACAGTTTATTCATTATTTGGATATACGAATGCTTTTACCATTCAGTTATTTGGAACTCAAAACATACTTTTTAAATCAATACCATCCAGTGTTTGAAAGTCAACTATAAGTTATCAATAGAACTTTTGGGTTGGTAGGTACAGGACCAAAAGCTTGACCTCATGGTGTGAGACTTCAGCCCTCCATCAGGCAATGATACAAATACAGATACTTAACCAGGAAAATTGCCCAACTAGACAGCATTCCTTGTCAAGAAGCAGACACATGACAACTATGATCGTGTATACTGCAAAACAAAGTTTTCCTATTACTTGGGTCCAGCTCGTAAAATCAATCTTATGTAGTAATCATTGTTCTGTTAGGTTATATATGAGAAACATGCTCCATTTATATATAGGATTCCTCCCAACTACTAGGGGTCAGCTTGCAAAGTACTTCATAAGACAATATTATGCAGTAACTAATGTTCTGTAAAGTAGTGAATCACCAACTAACAAAAAGCAAAGAGACTGAGACAAAGGTAACTCAGCAAGGACATCAGACACGAAATGTAACTCAAACAAGCACATGCAGAACATAGAAATAAGCAAACCCAAGATATAACAATGTAACTCAAGCATACACATGGGAAATCAGTTGCAATTTTTTTGTCTTTACCATTTCTCCTTTTATCTGCTCAAAAGGCTGCTTGTCTAACTTGTCAATACTTGAACAAATAGTTCTGAATTTTTCAGGAGGTACTCCACAGATTTCCAACATTCCATCCAACAACTTTCGGTGATTCAATTTAATCTGTATAATAAACAGTAACAAACACATGTAATTAAAGTTAAGCCAGAAAAATGAGGCATACCAAATAATTGCTCACATTATGATGCAGATGCTACTAAACAAATAAACGTCCATTTTGTGACTTTTGTCAAGAAATCAACATACATATTCCACAATTTTATTTATTAAAGAAAAAAGGGACTAGAAAATATTGTAGTTGAGCTCCTGCCAACCAATTTAAGTAAGGCAGATAAGATTAGTATAAACACAAATTTTATTGCAAAGGACTAATATCCTTGATTTTCGTAACTCATCAAAGTATTTCTATAACTCCATTACAATTAAAATCTATGATTTTACATACAAATACAAATTACACAACTCAATTAAACACACATAAGAGTGATCTACAATTAGGATGTAAAATGCTAGCAAACACGCAGTCAAAATTGAGAGACTTTAAGATAAATAATATAACGTTTAATCAATTAATCTAAATCATATTCATACCCGCCAGAAGATAAACAACACTTTATTATGAAAATATGCAGCGAATGAGATCTTGCAATAAATTTTTTTTCTACTGACCAACATAAATTCCAAAAGAACCCATTGGAAGTTCTAAATATTAGCAGTCTAGGAAGCACTTCATAGAGAGTTAAATGGCATTTAGGAAACATGTTACATAGGCTTCTTCATAGAGGTCGAAATCCATGTTACATAGGCTTCTTCATAGAGGTTGAAATCCATCTTTCCATAATTGCTTTACAACAAGATTGAAGGGTTTATGAAAGAATAGAATGAGTCCTATTTCTGTATGCATACCAACATGGAATCATTACAGTAAGACGGACACTTTGCTTCGACGTTTTCTATTGTTAATTTGTTACCACATTGATTGCATTTATGAAGTTTTTTCTTTACCATGAACCAATATCCTTCACCCTCGAAAGCATTTCCAGTAATTTTAAATGATTGAAATTGGGAGCCAGATCTCATAAGTCATAACAATATTCAAAAGAAGTTTCATGCATAACTCCATCTCAAAATTGATACATGTAAGGATCTGTGGTGTTATAATCCATGTCTTTCTTCAATTTAACAAAACTTTGTACGCAATGACACAAACGGAGGGTAAAATGAAAACTTACCTCATAATCTCCAATATTCAGCTCATCAAGAAGTTCTGTCAAAATCTTAATAACCTCAAAATCTGGACCCATTTTTTCAAATTGACCAGCAATATCAAAGTCGCATTGGTAAAATTCACGATATCGTCCTTTGGATGGATTGTCTCTTCTATAGACCTTTGCTATTTGGTACCTTTTGAAAGATGTGATACCATTCATAGCTACATATCTAGCAAATGGAACAGTTAGATCATATCGCAGTGATAAAAGCTCTCCTCCCTGCCGACACGACAAACACAACCCCCATTAGATATATGAGTGATTATTTTAGTTTAATTGTCAAACTATAACAACATTGCACCTTAGCTGCTAGAAACCTAAGAGAAGTATATATGAAGAAGAAATTACAAGGTCTTTCTCAGCAATTATAGGCAATTCCCCATATGATACATGAAAAATATGTAGTGGTCGCAACATATAGGAGATTATTTCATGTTTAAAAATACAACAATACCCGCCAGAAGGTTTAAAAAGCATAAACAAAATTATAAGCAAGATGCAACCAACAAAAGGTCATCCCTATAGCCAAATTCTTGAGAAAACCACACAAGAAAATTTTAGAAGTAGCTCCCTGGCTCAAGCACAGAAAGCCTAAAAGGCCTTTTTTTCATAGCCAAATTAAGAAACACTTCATGCAACTTGCAAAAAAGAAATTAACTGTGAAAAATAAAAACAAAACTCCACTTAAATTGACGACAGTTGAAACTGAGAAATACCTGGTCAGCAAGATCATAAATCAATTTTGAATCTTCCCCATATTTTCCCATGAGGGTTTCTCTCAATTCAAAAACTGGAGTGTCAAGGGCCATCGCACCGTGCCTCTCAAAGACCTCTTCAATAATCGAAAATGCTGTCTTTCTTACTACCATTTGTTCTTTTGCAAAGTCACGAGTACCCTAGGATTTCCAATAATATATACAAGGTCAGAATGCTAGTAAGTCCACTCAGCACAAACCCAAAAAGAAAAAAATCATAAAATCAGCTGAAACAAAAGACCATAATCTGCAAAGGCAACTGACAGCAACCTAAGTATGGTTTCTTGAAAATATACATTCACACAATTGTAATAAGTTTCCAATTCTTTCCAAATGGTCACTATTACAGATTCAAATATCTATCCGTATCGAACTACAAAGTTAAAGTATGTACATTATGTTGTAAAAAAAAAAATCCCTTCCTTTCAAAGACAAAAATAAAGTAAGAGGTAGATAGTAATAAGTTAATAACCACACATAGTTATCCTGAAAACACGAACAGTTTCCCAAAGAAAAAGGTAAAAAAATAGATAAGAAAGAATGATATTAATTTTCTTCTCCTACAAATCAATGAAATAATGTGGATTAGCGAAAATACTCCGAGACAGATAGGATGTCATTAATGATCCACTGTTATCAAATATTGACATATCCCATAGCAGCATCAGATATATGTTTACATCAATTACACAGATATATAGGGACTTGTTAGATATCCCTCTTGAGTTTTCAATTGTCAAAAAATGATGGACAAGTTCGATAGGATCACTGATTCTAGCTTTCTCTACACAAAAAGCGAGATGTATCAAGTAAGAGAGCTAAGGAGCAGGACAAAACTATAGGTTAGGTGCGTCAATGTAAATATCAAATAGATGAGCGGACACTGGTGTGAAAAATATTTCGCACTGAGTTACTGACTGACAATTCGAAAACCATTAATTGTAACTTATGTAAGTATCGACATAATTCCGCTCCAGCTTACTCTGCTTCCGTGCCGAACAAAGCACATGTTTCCATTCGAAACTTAAGTGTGTTAAACTAAATTCTTTTAAGAGATATATTCTAGTCTGGACCATTTGGAAATAAAAGAAAGATATAATTCTTGACAGGTTTCTAATATCAATGATTCTATACTAAATTTCAAAACCAATAACTATCCACTATATTAACTTCAAGGTATCAGAACATGTGTAAAGGGTAAAAATGATTTTTAACTTTTAAAAGTTTATGTTGATGTCAAAAAACTCACTCTAAGAGTGTTTTTAAAACGACTGCTAAAACAACTTCAATTAGGGGGTGCAAGTAAATATCTGTTTCCATTATCCACATCTACCGTACATTAAGAAACATGTCGAATAAAAGGTTATCTAAAGCCACCAATCAAGTAACAAACAAAATTCAACCACTTAACAACTATATAATCCTTCTTAATTATCATCTTGAATCATATCTGATCAACTATACTTTACATTAAATGATATGAGTACTGGAATCTTACCTTTGGAAGCTTTGGGAGTCTTCTACTCTCATTGCTTTCCACTATCTCCTTAACCTTGTTCAACAAACCATCAAATTCCGGGTCCTTGGGGTCCAAAAACGATGAAAGCTCGTCCGTCCAAATTACCAACAACCCCAAACTATCAACAGCATTTCCTCCCTTGCCCCGCAACCTATCTTTAATCAACTGTACTACAACACTAGTCCCCTTACCCAAAACCACCTTCTTCTTCTTCTCACTCTTCTTCTCTACTCTCACATTCCCTCCTCCATTCACTTCACTACCTTCACTCTTCTTCACATTCAACTCAGCTCCCTCGAGCACCACAAATGCCGTTATTGCCTCCCAAGTCACAATCTTCCACACAATTCCCATTAACACATTCACTTCGTGAGCAAAATTATCATAATTCACTTCAGCGTCAGATCCCAAATGGGAAACCAACTTGAACCCACTAATCAAGCTTTCACCACTTGGGCATTTCTTCTCAAACAATGCCACCAAACTCGACCTCAAATCTTCACTCCCCACCGCATCCACAATCATCTTCGCACGGGACAAACTAAGGTCACCCAAGTGATGAAGCGCAGACGCCACTGACAACAATGTGGTCACCACTGTCCTAGGAGTAACTACTTTCCCGCCAGAATTCAGCTCCGTTCGAGTCTTGGAGTGCAAAGATTTCACCTGCTCTCTCAAACTCGTGAATTTGGGGGATTTCCGATACCGCTTCAATTTCAAGCTTACCCACTAATTTAGACCCATTGAGCAGCACCTTCAAATCATTGGCCACAGCAATCACCTCCTTCGCTGCGTACCCATCCCCCAAATCCATCGAATTAAACGCCCTTACATCGGCCTTCAACGCCTCGCAAGACATCGCTGCCACCGCATCGGAAACAGTAGACAACGCGGCGGACTGGTGGTCCAGAAGCGCACATATCCCGCACAAAGCTGAGGATAACTTGAATTCCTCCAACGCAAGAGCCTCCTCTTCGGTCAAAACGAGCGACCCGAGCTCCAAGTCTCGGGAATTGATGGCTTCGGCGAGACGTACCGCGAGAACCGTACGGACGTTGGGGGAACCGGAGAGAGATAAAAGCTTGCAGAGGAGGACGACGAGGGAGGCTCTGCATTCTTCGACAGTTGGGAGGGAGGGGAGGAGAGAGACGAGATTGTGGGCGAGGGGCGATGAGGAGGAGGAGGAGGAGTCGAGCCGATTGAGCGCCGACAAGTCGGTGCGCAGATGAGCAAGGCCCTTGGCGAGGGAGCAGACGGAGGAGGAGGACAGAGACGAGCCCTTGCCTCCTATTGTTATCACTGGCAGCTCCGCCATTGTCGGAGCTCAGAGAGAGAGACTGTGGGAGGTTCTATCCGGTTTCTGAGCTAGGGTTTTTCACGTGAAATGCGGATGCTTTTTTCTTTATTGCATTCGAGGACTGCTTAAAATTGTTAGAAAATGAAAATTGGATTCGAGGACTGCTTATGGTGGAAAATTGTAGGCCCATTTAACAAGAGAGTTATAAAGAGATGTGCGGCAAAGAATATAGAGAATAAAGAGAATAGAGAGAATTTTGAGACGTGATTTCTCACAACGATTGCTTCTTTGTTTATAAAAATATTACAATACAATTACAAAATTAATTAAAATATATAATCAAATCTCATAAAGATTTATACAATGACATTCTTAATCTAACTAAAGACTACAAAAACTTTTTTTTATTATTAAAAGCACTTCTTTTATTGTTATTTTAAAGGCCAATTCGAAATTTTCATGAACTAAAAACATTTTTTGTTTATTATTTTAATAGAAATGTCTTATTTACCCAAATATTTTTCTATATGATATTTTTTTTTATTAATTCTCTCTTAATTTTTTAAATAAATAGTCGAATCTAACATTTAAAAAACTATTACAAATTTATAAATCTGCTAATTACTCTCTGAACTATTTTTTTCAATTGATTTATGACACACCCCGATCCTAGAATCAAGGCGTGCTGGCTGTCACGTGAGTGTGACGTAGCCAAAAGTGCGACACGGAAGCAAGATATAATAGAAATATGAAGCAATTTAAAACAACCACTATCAGTAATAACCTACTAGCATAGAAGAGTGAGTTATAAAGTAAAACACACGAATTCAGAGCGTAGGTAACAAGTGCAGTCAAGTAGGACTATAATTAAAAGTGCAACACCCGCATGTGAGTCCTATATGTAGAACGTCTGTCAGAACGCCGAAAAAGACCTCGTGAGCCACCAACTGCTAGCGAGAACCTGGAGGGGCGCAAAACAAAGATGAGTGGGTCAGTAAAACCAAAGATTTTCCAAAACATTTCTAACCCCTTACCGTAAAACCTGTATACTTTCCCAGAAATTTAGCATAATAGCATAATACTTTTCATAAATCTCAAATCATCAATTTTTCTCAAAAACCAGAAAGTATGCCATGTCATAATGTAAAAAACAGAATATGGATGCTTCAATATGACAGATGATATAATGAACTAACCGGAGACCCTATAATGGTCCTGTACGGCTAATTCTAGCTCAATATTCCCCCCTGCCGGAGTCACTCCAGTGATCTATACGACCCTACTATGCACGTCACTCGGAACTACGTAAGGTAGTCTATACGATGAAAGGTGTAAGAATACGCTCTAGTGCTTCTCTCATCAATCATCGGCGCGCATAAACTAAGGTCCCACTAGTCGGAATCACATCTAGCGATCTACACGACTAGCATGTCGGAACCCTCACATGGTCTGTACGACATTCACCTACTTGGATCCAAGGCGAGCGTGCGGTGCGGTGAATAATATAAGCACTAACACCTAGGGTGCAGGTTATGAGCTTTCAATGCAATTCACATAAAATAAATCGTATGAATAATGTAAAACTCACATGTGCGTCCACAGCGTCAATTCATATATATATGCATCAATTATCAATTCAAATATCTCATCAATTGCATGCATGGCATTCTAAAACATATTTTCAAATAAATTCATTTTCTGGGAAAAAACAATAGTATATAGGTAATACGAAAACAAAACTGCCCACTCACTGGTAAGTCGATGGGTCGTAACCCCCGTGACGTCCCTGGATGCGCTCGTCCTCGGGATAGGTGTCACCTATATGCGAAATAACTATAAAAACGTTAATTAAAACACATAACCAATAATTCGAAATAACTTCTCATACGGTGCTCAATTTGGGTATGTGAATATACCACATCGACCTATTCGACGTCACGGATGTCGAGAAATTTTTAGAAATTTTTTTTGATGTGGCATGCGCTCCCACGCGCCAGGGCAGGTACGGGTACACGCGCGCCCACGCGCGTCTTCTTCCTCGCGAGCTCGCCGGACTGAATTTTCCGGTGGCCGGAAAACTGGGCAATTTTTAAATGTCTTGTTCTCCTTCGTTTCTCAACCATTTTCTTCGTATTTTATATCAATTTGAAGCCCTCAACATGTAGAATCACGATGGACTAGTTTCAAGGTCTAAAATCCACTAGATTTAACCTGAGGAAGCACGATAATCCGGCAAATTTTGAAAGACTCCGTTCTCAGTCCTCCGACGTCCAAATGTTACCAACGAAGTACCCTGAAACTCGTGAGGATCTCCTGAAGCTCACTGTGAGCTTGAAATTCCCTGAAATGTAAGATTTCACGTGTGCATGAACAGTGCACATTTTCGGGGTTAGGGTTTCACGATGATTCCGAGGGTTTCACTTCCTAAAACTAGTACCATTCAACTCAGAACATCAAAAGGATGAAGAATCATACCTTATTTGCTTCGATCCGCAAAGTTTTGAAGGTTTTTGGTCTTGTCCGTACGGTTCGAGGGTGAGAGAGAGACTGAACATAGAGGAAAGAGAAAGAAAGCACGGGGGAAGGGAGAGAGAAGGTGAGTCCGTGTGTGAGGGTGTGGTCCATCTAAAACAATTCCACTTCAATCCCTAACCACACAAATTTACAACCCAATTTTTATCCAACTTAAATGATATTTCCAATAATTTGGGAAATATGAAATATTCAAAACATGTCACACACACTTACCTTAGTAACGTCAAGGGTACTTTCGTCCTTTCACGTCCTTAATAAGAAAATCTCGGGACGGGCTATGACAATTTATCCCTTTAATTAGTACAAAATATTTAAATATCTCACCACCGTTATATTTAAGAGAATTGTCCAAATTCAATTAAATATTGTCATATGGGGGGGTGGGCATGAGACGCATGTAACTGCAAAATATTTAGTTGTCTTGTACTAGTTAAGAGAGTACAACAAAAAAAGTAGTTTGGAGTTAATTGACATCCTTGTAATAGTTCGAGAGTATTTGGCAGTTTACCCAAGTATTTTTTTTATTATTCGTTTTTCATATATTTTAGATTTTAAGTAATCAAGACACTTAGTGACACATCTTGACCCGAATGTCCACTAAGACTCCGAATCGAGCTGCGTTGACCAATACCTGAAAGATGACGAAGCCATAAAGTGTGATGATGTAGAAAAATGTGAATAAATTTAAATCTAAGAGTGCCTAATTACCAAAGTGCTCTGGTGAGCGGGAAAGAACTCACTTCATACATGATGTTAGAGCATAAATACAGTAGAGTGGATTAAGAATCGTACCCTCGATAGAATCTCCAATACTAAAAATCGCCACGAATCTTTGACGATAAGAAAGCTCAGCTAATAAAACATGGAGGGTGAAAACAAAACAAGGGTGAGTGGCCCTAGAAATGAAATTTTAATAGAAACCATCTAAAGCATTATAACCCCTCGCTGCAACACTTGTATAGTTTCCAAAAAATCATACCATGTGTCAATGTGAAATCAAAAGTATATCAACAGTAAACCATAAATATACCATAACACAACATCTCATCAGCAATATCAATAATTATGTGATTAATAACTCATACTAGCATGCAAGTTGGCGTTACCTATGGTGACCTGTACGACTGCACCCATATCTCATCAATCAATGCTAACTCATAAGTTGGTGTCACCTATAGTGACCTGTACGACTTATCCATATCTCATCACATATGCTAGCTCATAAATCGGGAGTCACCTCTAGCGACTTGTACAACTTATCCATATCTCATCACATATGCTAACTCATATGTCGAGAGTAACTATAGTTACCTGTACGACTTATCCATATCTCATCACATATGCTAGCTCATAAGTCGGGAGTCACCTATAGCGACATGTACGACTTATCCATATCTCATCACATATGCTAGCTTATAAGTCGGGAGTCACCTCTAGTGACCTGTACGACTTATCCATATCTCATAACATATGCTAACTCATAAGTTGGGAGTCACCTTTAGTGACCTGTATGACTTATCCATAGCTCATTAAGTATACATGCACACGAGTCGGAACCACCTATGGTGGTCTATACGACAGGACTAAGTGTAAATAAATACGCTCAAGTGCTACAATCACGTGAAGACTGTGCGAATAATCGTGGGTCACCTACGAGTCGGAACCACCTATAGTGGTTTGTAAGACAGGCATGTGCACCTACCTTGGATCCAAGGTGAGCGTAAGGTGCGGGAGGTGAACATCATGTGAAGGACTGTGCCCTGGCCACTAGCGGAAGCATTAACACCGGGGTGCAGGTTTATGAGCTTTAAATGCATCTCATGTAACATATACAACTCATAGGCAACTTGTACGACAATGTCGGAGTTGCCTAAAACATAATGTGATCATGCCATAACTCAATCATTTCAACTAATATCATAACTCACCTGAACTTACCTGTGTATTCAGCGTTCATCTTCGCACTTCAAAGCATTCATAATAATTTTGTGCAAGTAGTATACACATGGATATGCCATGATGCAAATCTAAAACTTAACCATATCATAGTATTTTTCCAATATATATGCATATATATAATGTGGCGTAAAATGCACAATCTATAACGCCCTACTCTTGAATTATTTATTTTCAGAAATAATTATCGGGGATAAGTCCAACTAAACACTAGTTTAATTAACTATCATTACTTACGTTTCCTCATTTCAATTTCTTGATTCCTTCCACATTGATTTATGTGTTGGAAATGTGCCCTAAAACCAATCATATGATGATACTTTACGGACATTTCATATGTTAAACTAATCTAGTTTAATATCAAGGGCAAAGATTATTGTTTAAGCCGTCTCATATAAATGTTATATGCTTAAACGATAAGTCCAAGGAATATGTGATTGGGAGAATGCAATCTAAAGAAGTTAGATTCATGAGACCATTCTTTCGTACACACATCCTAAACGTTCCTGATCATAGGATTGCCAATTGGGCATTGACAGTCCGTTAAGATCAGTACGTGTTATGTCTTCTCTCAGGGAGAATGACTAGTCTCGAGTCATTGGTGTGTGTGACATCAAGACAAGCATGTAGGTGCTCAATAGCGAATGAGTCCACTGAACATGATCAA